CCCCACATTATTCATGAAATCATCTTTTTCCCACTGATACGCAATGTCAGGTATTCTACGTCAATTTTTTGTATTTATGTGAGTCCTTTTCCAGGTTCTTTTTTATTTTATTGATCTATTCCTACACCAAAGCCACACTATCTTGATCATTACTGATTTTTAATAGATTTTAATATTTGGTAAGAAAATTCTCCTATTTAATTCTTCTCTAAGAGTACCCTTACTTAATTTTAATCCTTTGTTCCTTCATACAGCTTTTAGAATCATCTTTTCAAGTTCTATAAAAAGTCCTGTTAGGATTGTGATTGACATTGTATTGAATTTATATATTGACTAGGGGATTTTTTACATCTTTATTATATTGTCTTCTTATCCATTGAGTTGGAATATTGTTACATTCATGCAAGTCTCCTTTCCTGTCCTTCAATAAATGTTTTTGCTCTTGGACACTGTGCTTTACATGGGCTGAGTCATTTCATATAGTGTGTGGGAGCCAACACAATACTAAAACAGCGTTTCCCAGCCCAAACTATGCCTTTTCTCAAGGTGATAATCTACATGCTCTGTTGCATCTCCTCAGGAATGAGTGGCAGAGAACAGCAGAAGAAGAGCCTCCAAGGCTCAACCACAGTCCCTAGAGTCAACCAGCACAAGCATTCGCAAGGATGTGGAACAACACAAACTCTTGCTGGGAGACACAGGACTGGGAAAACCATTTTTGAAAACAATTTGGCATTATGTAAAATTGTTGGAGTCTTTTTCTGACGACCAACCAGTAATTCTGTTCTGATATTTACTCTTACTAAATAAAGTCTAGACTTGCACTGTCCAATATGGTGGTTACTAGCTACTTGTGGCTATTTAAATATATATATAAATTAATTAAAATTAAAAGAAATTTAAAAATTCAGTTCCTCAGTTGTACTATCCACATTAAAATGCTCAATATCCACATGGAGTTCCAGTGGCTGCTGCATTGAACAACTTAAATAGTGGATATTTCTTTTATAATAGAATGTTCCATTGGATTACGTCTCCTAGAGAATCTCTCTCTTTTTTTTTTTTTTTTTTTGAGATGGAATCTCACTCTGTTGCACAGGCTGGAGTACAGTAGCATGATCTTGGCTCACTGCAACCTCCGCCTCCCGGGTTCAAGTGATTCTCCTGTCTCAGCCTCCTGAGTTGCTGGGATTACAGGCATGCGCCACCATACCTGGCTAATTTTTGTATTTTAGTAGAGACAGGGTTTCACTATGTTGGTCAGGCTGGTCTTGGACTCCTGACTTCATGATCCGTCCACCTCGGTCTCCCAAAGTGCTGGTATTAGGCGTGACCCACAGTGCCTGGCCGAGAATCTCTTAACTAGAAAATAACAGTAAGATTATTCACTGTAGTACCGTATATAATGAGAAAAAAAGAAACAATGTCTCTATCAACAGTATAATGTACAAATAAATTTTTATGTATTTATAAAGCTGACAACTATTCAGTGAAAATCAATGAACTCCACTACATGCATCAACACGTGTGCATTGGAAAAATCCTGTGGAGTGCAAAAAAGTAAGTCTTGGAAAAAAACATATAACATGACAATTCATATATAAGTTAAATGGGCAAAACCTGTCATATAGCTTGTTAAATTTTTTTTTTTTTATTATCACACCTGATCCTGAGACGGTAGCAGGAGTAATGTAATGCTTCTGAAGTGAGATCCAAGGTAGAGAGGGTTCCAAGAAACTAGAGTCATGTTCAAAGACCTCCTGACTTCATTGGCCTACTTTTCATTCAGGATAATTTTATTGGTTGCATTTATTCAGGGGCTGTGCACTACTCATAGGAAACAGCAGAATTCACCAGGATGCTGTCCAGTGACTCTGACCATGTCTGGATCCCAGATCCCTTTGAGAATCCAATGAAGTTCAATGTTAGATTCTTTACGTTTGTACAGTTATGGAGCTAGTTTTAAAAACTGGCCCAGAACTTTGTAAATCAGAGGTTCTGGAGCATTTTGCAGTGGGGTTGAAAAGCATGATATGTAGTTAATATTTTGCTTTCCACCTGTATGGGTTCTTTTAAAACGTCTAAACATACCTTTTACATCTTTGGTTCACAAAACTGTAATCCCCATCCACACTGAATGAACCATAACACATTCCAAATGAGAAGGATACAAAATAATGAGATAAGTGCAAAAGAATAGAAGGAATTGCATCCAGAAAGATCATAATAGGGGTAGGAATGTAGAGACATTTGGATCTTTTAGGCTCAGATGAGAGTCATCAGAAAAAGCCTCTAGAGAAAAACATGGGGATAAAGAGACTCTGCAGCTAAGATGTGAGATGTCCCAGGCCTGGAAGTGGTGGGGGAACTTATGTCCTCTTCCTCCAAGCATGAAGCCAGCCTCCTTCCTTGTCCACCCAGCACAGGTATGAGTTTAAGAACCTTCACCAAGCGTGCGTCTCAAGACTCTCTGATATCTTGAGATATCTGAGATATGGCTATAGTCATTTTCCTACTGTATCTCTTAATCATCCCTAAATATAAATATGGATCCAAACATTTAACCCTATAGTTTTTCTAACACCAAGTACAGGGAAGCCAGTGAAGTCTCTGTTAATGTTTTTTATGTCCAAGAATGTAAAGAACTAGAACTCTGCAACATGGGATGCATGTCTCTCCCCGTGACCTTTGAAACCAGTGTGCTCAGGGGTTACAAGTACCACCACTTACACTGCTGTCCTGTGGCAGTTACACGCACATGCCTGCCATTCAGAGTTTTGGAGTGTGCGTTGACATCTGTGTGTGTGTGAAGATAAATGGGTGCTTGTTTGGATGCAGGACATGATACAGGGCATTGCTGGTATGCTGTCAGAAACCTCATGTTAAAACGAGCCACCCGAAGGACGGCTTCTGACCCTTGGAGTCACTCACTCACTTATGGGACTGTGTCTCCAGTCTACAATTGTCTTTTTACTATGGGAGCAGAAAGTTTGAATCAAAAGAGAACATTGAATCAAAATCAACAACTATTAAACAAATGGACAATTAACAACTACTAAACAAAATATGGTTCCTTCTATGGTAATTTAAAAAAATGACTGTAACATTGTACATTTTGGGAGGAAAAAGGATCCAAAGATGACTAGAAACCTAAGTGAGCCTGGAGAAAAAGCTAAGTGGAGACATTGTAGCTAGTCGATGAGAATGAACACAGGAAAATTTAACTTAGAAACTGAGAAAGGATTCCAGTGAACCAAATATCTCAACACAGCCCTCAGAACACAGCACCAGGACGTGTGAGTAATGGCGTGCGCTGAGCGAGTCAGAAAGATGCCAGGACTACCGCCTCAATGGGAAAAACATCCCCTGGGCTTGTCCGCAGGGCCTCTCTGGCTGCACCACGGCTGCTACTGTCACTAGTTAGGATGGAAAATGTGATGAAACGGATTTGTCTTTCCTAATCTGGACACACACTCCATTCTACCATCTTTATTTTCAGGACCAAGGCATTTGGCGTTTTTTGTGTGCCTGGTAATGTTGTTTGCCAAGTATATTAGTCAGGGTTCTCTAGAGGGACAGAACTAATAGGGAATGGATATATATGTATATGAGTTTATTAAGTATTAACTCACGCCATCACAAGGTCCCACAATAGGCCGTCTGCAAGCTGAGGAGCAAGGAGAGCCAGTCCAGGTCCCCAGACGGAAGAACTTGGAGTCCCATGTTCAAGGGCGGGAAGCATCCAGCATGGGAGAAAGGTATAGGCTGCGACTCTAGGACAGTCTAGTCTTTTCATGTTTTTCTGCCTGCTTTATATTCTAGCCATGCTGGCGGCTGATTAGATGGTGCCTACCTAGATTAAGGGTGGGTTTGCCTTTCCCAGCCCACTGACTCAAATGTTAATCTCGTTTGGCAACACCCTCACAGACACACCCAGGATCAATACTTTGCATCCTGCAATCCAATCAAGTTGACACTCAGTATTAACCATCACACCAAGCTTTTGCTGGAACCTCTTGATGACAATTTGATTGAGTCAGAAGGATGAATTTGGCAGAGATGCCGGTCATATTAACAATTCATTGCACAGGTGGAGGACCTGAGGTCCATATCCAACTGCAAATTTCTGCCTGCCTCCTGCCTCCAGGATGATCTGGGGATGTGCTGGCCTCTCAGCATTATTGCCCATGCCCTAGTATGGTGGAATTGTGTTTAAAAGTGTGACGGTTTTATTCTTCATAAGAATCAGACTGCCTTGGTTCAAATTGTAACTCCATCACTTTGCAGGTTTGTGGCCTCTGGCAAGCTACATAACTTCACTGACCCATATATGTGATAGAGATAATGATAGGGTTATTACGGGAGCACACCTGATGATAGATGTAAAGCACTCAGTACAATGCCTGTTTGTAGGAAGCATCTAATCAATTTTAGTTGCCGCTATAACTAAGCACTTGCCTCTTTTTCACATGCCATTTTAGCCAGATCAAATAGGTAGGAAAAAAGGCTATCAATCATGAAGTTTATACTTTCCTGTTTCTAAAAAGGTATACTTCTAAAAACTTATATAATCCATTTATAGCTATTAACTTAAACTTGGAAAGTTTGGATATTTGGTCTGTCTTCAGAAGTGTTTATCTGAGGATGTAAGCCCTACCACTCAAATTACTATGTATCACCACTGATGTGCATTATGTTGATTCTTATACCTATTATATGCATGTGTGAAACTAAGCCCCATAAAAACAGAATTGAGGCATTCCTGCTGAAAGGAAGTGAATTGAAGGGAAGAGAAGCAGAGCCTTTGCAAAGAGAAAATTGTCCTATCTCTCGGCCAGTGTCAGAATGTGGAAATGTTTACAAAATGCTCATTAAAAGAAATAAGGATTGCAAGATAGAAACAAATTCTGGTGCACAAGTTTACACTAGGGAGATAAGAAAGGCTAGGCCCCTATAGGGGATTTTGTTATCCAATTACTGCAACCTGACTTTTAGGGGGAGAGGAAGAGTGGTAGGGGGAGGGAGAGAGAGAGGAAGAGTTTCCAAACTTGTCTCCAGTGACAGGAGACATTTACGCTCCACAAGATAAAACTGCCACTTAGAGCCCAGGAGAGCTAAACCTTCCTGGCTTGGCCTAGGGGCTCGAGCGGAGTCATGGGCTCTCTGGGCCTGACACTGTGCGCTCTTTTCTGCCTGGCAGCTCACTCGGTTTCTGGGAGCCCCATCATGAGCCTAGAGCAGTCTCCTCTGGAAGAAGATATGCCCCTTTTTGATGATGTTTTCTCAGAGCAAGATGGTGTCGACTTTAACACACTGCTCCAGAGCATGAAGGATGAGTTTCTCAAGACACTAAACCTCTCTGACATCCCCACGCAGGATTCAGCCAAGGTGGACCCACCAGAGTACATGTTGGAACTCTACAACAAATTTGCAACAGATCGGACCTCCATGCCCTCTGCCAACATCATTCGGAGTTTCAAGAATGAAGGTAAGTTTTTGCTGATGAAATTTGGCTTGGATTTTTTTCAAGACACGATAAGTAAATTTACAATGCATGGGAATGATGTAGGTAAGGCTAAATACATCTATATAAGGATGTTAAATACATACAGATAACACTAAAACAAGGCACATTTTGCTCTATACCGTTTATATAGTCATTTCAGAACCTCAATAAATACTTACAAACATCTTTTAATCCAAAGCCACAAAATATCTATCAATTTGACATCATCATTGGGTCCTGTTAAAAAATGTTAATTTGAACACCAATCAACACAAAGAATTAATGTTGGTCTACTGCCGTATCTTTGTCATTTTCCAAATAGGCCTTGATGGCCATTTGGGCTTTTAATTAACTAAAAAATTTCTCAACTTCTACTTAGAATACCAAGGATAAAATCAGTCAAAAAACATCGAGTTGTGATTTGTGTTTTGTTCAAACTTTTGATAAGTTTTTATTTTGTGACCTTATTTAAGAAATATTCAAACAGGATGGAAATATATTTTAAAGATTCTTCCTAAGGCTATGTTGTTTGATGTGTCATGTACATCCTTAAAGCACTGTTTACAGTTTCCAGGAAGTGTGGATGGCCCATTAATCATCCAGCTCATCATTTCCGTCTTTATAAAGAGCAACGTACAAGCTTTGAATTACTGGTGGGAAAAGTGTGTTTTCTTCTCTTCAGTCTTTAAATTTGGTAACTAAATCTAATGAGCTAGCAAGTTATTTATTTTCTATTTTTTATTTTTTGCTTAATATGGTCCTGGTAGGAAAAAAAACTCTGATATCTAAATATCCATGGTAGAAGCTGATAGTCCAAATGAACTAATTTAATATTTGCCAATTATGTTTTTATAGTCACTAAACAGGTATAAAAGAAGCTTCCCATCAATGTTGGCCAGATGTTCTCAAAAGAAGAAAGGTAATAGTGAAGAAATAGCTCAGGGCTTGGAATTTTAAGGGCTGGTTGGCTTAGTGGTTGTAAATAATTAGCTGATGACTCAGAGCCTCAATTTCCTCATCTGTAAAGTGGGGGTAATAATACCTAGTAACATAGTTGAGTGACTCAAAAGAGGTTACAGATAAGAAAGCACTCCATTTACTATGAAGTGCTGATCCAACTTCAGTGATTACTAATGAGTTACTTAATATTCTAGGTGCTGGAATAAATGTTGAGTAGGTATTCCTTAGTCTCTAAGATATTATCTGCCTTTAAAATTGAGTTGGCTGACAAAATTTCTATTTCATAACATCTTTCTCATGGAAATGGCAAGATGAGATTACAGATTCCTTTTGGTGGGGAGTCTGAATTGAAAATGAACAACCTCCTCCTGTAAGAACCCTCCCTAATACTTCTCAGCACCGAGCCCTAAGTGTCTGGCTCCGGGTGCCGGTGAGAAAATGTTGTTTGCATCCCCCGGAAAAGTAGAAACATTTTCCGTTCTCACTTCTCTCATAGAGTATCTGGATGATCCAGGTCAGGATGTGGAGTTTACTGTGCTTATTATTACTGGAGATTATTGAGGGCAGGAACACACATCTCTCAGTAAACAACCCAGCCGCCAGCACCTCGGCCCGTCTGCAGGAAATGTGCAGCCTGAGGACAGAAATCGCACAGGGCACACACTGTTGGCTACTATTGCCTCTCTTCTTACTCTTTGGATCTGCTTAGTGCAGCTCCCTAGGAGACAAAGACCAAAAAAAAACTCCAAACCTACATCATCTTAGGAAAAAAAGTGCCACCTCCAAAGTGAAAAAAGCATGCCCTCAATTCCTAGCACTGCTCCTTTATCACCTTGTCAGGGGAAGTCAGTTCTCTGCATCGAGGCTTGATTTCTTCTGGTGCAAAATGAGCAGAGAATCAATACCTGCATTATGGGGTCATTGTGAGAACCAGAGAAGATCATGGTTGCAAAGCATCTGGCAAGAGAAATTTGTCAACAAACATTAGTTCTCTTGCCCTGAAATGTAACTCTTCAGTCTATTGCTTACTGCATTTGCACATGCACAGAACTTCACAGCGAACTTACTTTTTCAAAACAGTCTTCTTGAGGTATATTTGACTTATAAAAATATTGGTGTATAAAAGTATAATTGCACATATTTAAAGTGTATAATTTGAAAGGTTTTGACATAGGTAACATTCATTGAAACCATCACCACAATGAAGATCATGAATATATCCATTAACACCAAAAGCTTCCTTGTATGCTTTGTAATGCCTTCTTCCCACTACAGTGAGCTCTTATTTTATACTTTTCTCCTGGGTAGAGCAGCCAGCCTACTCCTCCATGTTCCCTGTCCATGGGGAGTCAAGTCTCCTCCCTTCTAAGAGTGGGAGAATAATTCCCAAGCCCAACCCAAGAGCTTGATGATGGATTAAGGTCATATGTCACGCACATAAATCAATTTAGTCTGATGCCTAGAATCATCAACTAATCAATATTTTTAAAACACTACCTCTGTTTAAGCCATCATAGTAGGACAGAGACATACAAGGGAGTTTTGAGCCATTCAAACCAGGAGGATGGCAATCTAGTTGGGAAAATTCATTCATAAAAAGATGGCTGAAATATAAGGATGTAAATGACAAAGATCAAAGGAGATGTAAAGTGCTCAAGTGATTTCAGAGGGGAGGGGAGGGAACTTTCAGATAAAGAAGTAAGGGAGCCTTTTACAGGAGATGTCAGAGCTGGATAGGTGGAGGTGAGGTGAAAGGGCTTTCCAAGGGTCAGAAGAACAAGTGAAAACGTGAAAATTACGGGGAAAAAAGAGTGTTTTGACAGGTGGTAAAGATATCAATGTAGTTGAGACAGAAGGGTTTACAAATCCATTCAATTGTTCACAAATATTACTGAGTAATCACAGTGTTCCGTGCACTGTGGAGGATGTAAGGAAGTTATGTCTGATCAGGAGGCTAAGACCCATGTATAGCTGATCTTGAAAGCCATTCCAGGGAGTTTAAATTCATTCTGTAGGTAAGCATTTCCCATTGGCAGTGTGTGAGATGATTTTAAGTGGTTCCCATAGAAAGCTATGAATCATGTGAAATAATTGTATATTTTTATTAATATGGATTTTTAGCAAACATAAATAAATATCACCTCAAATCTCTCCTTTCATGAATGATGTTGCTTAGGAACATCATTGTAAAGTCTAAAATAGATAATAAGTGTAAAATAATTAGATCAAGTTAAAAAAATATTAAAAGATTATAATCTGGAACAGGGACTCACTGAGATCATGAATTAAGTATATACTTGGAGAAATGTTGCCAATGATGAGGGAGAACCCCCAATTGGTGGTCCTTAGCATCTTCAGTGCCATGGAGCCCTTTGATAATCTGATGGCAAATGCCTTCAGGGCTTCCTTGTAGACTCATTACCTGAGGCAAGTGTACAGGAGCTTTGGGCTAACTGTAAAATATTCAGATAGGAAGTCAACATGATAGTATTTGGAGGTGTCCTTTTACGACTAAAGGACTTTTACAGAGTTGATTCATAAACATTATTGAATGAGTTATATGTGCCATGCTCCATGCTAGGTGCTAGGGGTACAAGACTAAGGCAACCAATCTAGTCCCAGGATTCACTTTCTCCCATTACTCTTTATAGAGGACCATATAACCAAAATTCAATTGCTGTGACCCTCTTGGTTTATGGCTGTCTTATTGACCTTGTCAGGCTTTGTTGCCTAGAACGGAAGTCAGCAAGTTTCTTCTGTAACGGTCCAGACAGATAATAACGATTTTAAGCTTTGCAGGCTGTATGTTCTCTGTCGTGTCTATTTAACTCTGCCATTATAGTGCAAAAGCAGCCACAGACAATACAAAAACAGTGAATGAGGCTGTGTTCCAATAAAACTTTATTTCCCGAAGCAGGTAGCAGGCCCATTTTGGCCCATAGGCTATAATTTACCAACCTCTGATCTAAATGGAGGTCTTTTAGGAAGAACAGTGCCCAGCCAACTGTGTGGGGATCTCCACCCACTACAAACACAAATATTAAAAAACCATGAAGTCCTCACCCTTGAAAAGCTTCAAGAAAAGAACAATCACATGTCCCATTTGATGGCTCTTTGTTGGTCAGGAAATTTAGGGACTTGCCCACACAATCTCCAAGTTCTCTCCCAGTTCTGTAATTCTGTGTCTGATGAGCTATTCAAGCAAGGCTGGCTGAGTTTTACCCCATCCATTAGACCCCCATTTTCCATTTTAGTCTTGGCAACTGAACTCTTTTGGGCATTCTACCACTGACCTTTCGGGATTTCTTGTGTCACACAGAATGCTGACATTGTGTTTGTCCTCATTGATCTTCTCCCTTCATTATTTCTGCATTAAGCTTTATGCATGGGAAGGCCTTCTTATTACATAAATAAGCATCTGTTTTTCCCTGAGACCCTCTGCAAACCTGATTTTTGCAAATTTCTTTTTTCAGATCTGTTTTCCCAGCCAGTCAGTTTTAACGGACTCCGAAAATACCCCCTCCTCTTCAATGTGTCCATTCCTCACCATGAAGAGGTCATCATGGCTGAACTTAGGCTGTACACACTGGTGCAAAGGGATCGTATGATATACGATGGAGTAGACCGGAAAATTACGATTTTTGAAGTGCTGGAGAGCAAAGGGGATAATGAGGGAGAAAGAAACATGCTGGTCTTGGTGTCAGGGGAGATCTATGGAACCAACAGTGAGTGGGAGACTTTTGATGTCACAGATGCCATCAGACATTGGCAAAAGTCAGGCTCATCCACCCACCAGCTGGAGGTTCACATTGAGAGCAAACACGATGAAGCTGAGGATGCCAGCAGTGGACGATTGGAAATAGACACCAGTGCCCAGAATAAGCATAACCCTTTGCTCATAGTGTTTTCTGATGACCAAAGCAGTGACAAGGAGAGGAAGGAGGAACTAAATGAAATGATTTCCCATGAGCAACTTCCAGAGCTAGACAACTTGGGCCTGGATGGCTTTTCCGGTGGACCTGGGGAAGAGGCTTTGTTGCAGATGAGATCAAACATCATCTACGACTCCACTGCCCGAATCAGAAGGAACGCCAAAGGAAACTACTGTAAGAGGACCCCGCTCTACATCGACTTCAAGGAGATTGGGTGGGACTCCTGGATCATCGCTCCGCCTGGATACGAAGCCTATGAATGTCGTGGTGTTTGTAACTATCCCCTGGCAGAACATCTCACACCCACAAAGCATGCAATTATCCAGGCCTTGGTCCACCTCAAGAATTCCCAGAAAGCTTCCAAAGCCTGCTGTGTGCCCACAAAGCTAGAGCCCATCTCCATCCTCTATTTAGACAAAGGCGTCGTCACCTACAAGTTTAAATACGAAGGCATGGCCGTCTCCGAATGTGGCTGTAGATAGAAGAATAGTCCTGTGGCTTATTTAATAACTGTAAATGTGTATATTTGGTGTTCCTATTTAATGAGATTATTTAATAAGGGTGTACAGTAATAGAGGCTTGCTGCCTTCAGGAAATGGACAGGTCGGTTTGTTGTAGGAAATGCATATTTTCCTCTCCAGTTAAGTCCCTTTCAATGTGTTTTCTCTTTGGACTTGCCATTTCCTGGCAATGCCACCTCCACGTTGATTTGAAAACAACTCCTAGGCAAAATACAGTGCCAAAAGACACATACTTGTGTATGTATATCTGTACATACATGAACTTACGGAAATCTTTTGGTTCTATGCAGGCAGATTATACTCATCTACATGCGTGACTCACTCAAATGTGTGCATATTAAAGGCCAATGGTATGTTCTCTGTTACCTCTTCTCTGAGTAAGATTTAAGTCAAGGTAATTTTCATCAGGGTTTTAATCATCCTAGGAAGTATTACAATTCCTAAATACTCTGGAAATGTAAGTGTAGCTTTTGTCAGTTGAGTGTCTGTGGTTGCTCAGAGAGGCAGGGCCTGGCAAAGGATGCTTGAAAGGAAGGGTTAATTGATACAGAAACCAAATGGACTCAAGAGGTCTTAGAGGTACAACAGGAAAAACTGAACCCGTGGGGGACCAGTGTGCTCCAGAGGGCAGCTCCTGGTCAAGGCAGGAAAACAGAAGAAACCAGCATGAAATCTGTTCCTGAGACAATAGGAAAGCAAGGCCATGAGTACTGGCTGTTGCTGCTGCAAAGAGTAGAGGGGTCGGGAGGGCACTTGAAGGGGAGAAAGGGAGAAAGGGAAGAGGATATTCATACTGTCCTCAGAGGCTATCCTCAGATGTGTCTGTAAAATCATAAGCGATTCTATTTAAAGAATTAAATCTTTTGGACAAAATAGAAGTATCAAAGACTAACAGGAGGAAAATCAGAAGGGATATGTCTGTTAGAAGAAAGGATGTTAGGCCGGGCGCGGTGGCTCAAGCCTGTAATCCCAGCACTTTGGGAGGCCGAGACGGGCGGATCACGAGGTCAGGAGATCGAGACCATCCTGGCTAATATGGTGAAACCCCGTCTCTACTAAAAATACAAAAAACTAGCCGGGCGAGGTGGTGGGCGCCTGTAGTCCCAGCTACTCGGGAGGCTGAGGCAGGAGAATGGCGTAAATCCGGGAGGCGGAGCTTGCAGTGAGCTGAGGTCCGGCCACTGCACTCTAGCCTGGGTGACAGAGTGAGACTCCGTCTCAAAAAAAAAAAAAAAAAAAAAAAAAAGAAAGGATGTTAATATCTTTCTTCACCTGTTAATGCTGTTCCCTTGTCTCCACACCCCTGCTTTCCTCTGCTCCATCTTCTTTCTTCCCTCTTTCTTCTTTGCTCTAGTGCTCTTCCAGGACACACTCTTCTAGTGTGTCCCTGCTCTTCCCTGGCCTTCATGACGCATGCTGTGAACTGGAAAGGGACACCTAAGTGCCTTTGCTCTCAGGGTGAAAGGAGTTAGTGTTCTAATTTCTAAATCTTGCCCTGAAATTTACTTTGATTTTATTTTAATAATATCCTTTATCAAATGTTGAATACTTAGGTATAAGAAAAAAAGAAAACCAGAATAAGTAAGTATAAGAAAAAGAAAACCAGAGTCCAAATGAACGGATTTCAATAAACGAATTTATGGATAGACACACAACCAAATGACTCAAAAGCCAAGCCTGAATTTGGAAATCATGTTGGCTTCATGGTAGAAACTCAGTAACTTTCTCATCTTCTCATCTTACCATCTTCCCATTTTGTAACTGGCCAGGACTGAAAGTGGTGGGGAAGTGATCTGCACAGGAAGGGTCCCGTGGGTTTCCCTGGCAGGTGGCAGGCTCCAGTCTTAACCCCTACCATTTCCCTCTACCTGGCAAGCATATCCTGGGTTTTGTGCAGGAGGAACCAGAGCAGAGCAGTTTCCAAACTGTTCCAGCATCTCCAGGCAGGGAACATGGACGGTTCCTGTTAGAACCAGGAATGTGGTTTCCAGTACATCGTCCCCCATTCACCGCTACTTATCTTAAGGAATGCTTTTTAAGAAGTCTGACACTTTTTTCTTTTTTTTTACCCTGGAAAACCATCAGCCGCCTTTTACAAATCTCTTAAGATTATAAACTCAAACTGCGCTAGACAATAGAGGCAAGGAAAACCATTTTGAAGAACTTTTGCCCAATTTGAACCTCAGCTCGCTAGATTTATTGTCTGCTGGGTGAATCCTGGGGAATTCATTGCTCCTGGAAGAGCGGTATTTTGACCATCAGTGGGTATACAGTGTTTGATATTTTGAGAAAGCCACGCAACTCAGAATCACTATTTGTGGAACAGCCTCCATATAACATGATATGTGTATGTGTGTGTGATGCATAGCTGGCTTTGAACAACCACACTTAACACCCTCAGTGGAACGTGGTGCATCCTTCATACTCCATGGTACACAATATATACTCACATACTCCAAGGTACTTCTTATCCTTTCTAAAGGACACTGTAATAGATACACAGTAAAACCTCAGCTGACCAGGATAGTCCTGGTTAGATAAAAATTAAGCAAAATTTTCTTTATGTCTAATACATATGACAGTGGTGTGCTGGTAAATCCCTTATAACCAGCAATCCAGGGGGTGGGGGGAGCCCTGATTTGTGGATTTCAATGCTGTAAATGCTCCTACATGGTCTATCTTGAGCTACCAAGGTGATGTCAACTGGCTTGCAAAACGTCTAAAACCTAAGTCAGCTCTTGGGAGCTGTGCACTGGCGCTGGCACACCGCTGACATTTAGTATCCCACTGACATTAGCACACTGCTGACATTAGCACCCTGATACTAGAATGTTAAGGATGTGCCAGCCCTGCTTTCCACTGTGTGCACTGCTGGCTCTGGGCTTGTGGAGAAATCTTGTCTCGAGCACTTATAGTCACTCTTCTGTTAAAGAGATATGAAAATATAGGCTGTTGGCAATTAGGCTGCATAGCCCAGTTTCTCTTTTTGCCCGTCCGGATGTAAACCTGCATTTCTACGATTTTTCTGCTTCGCTGTGGAGAGGGAGTGCAGAGAGCAACATATTGGCTTTTCAAATGTTGCTAGTTGTATTTTTTTGGCTTTCTTTTTATGAGAAAGTGAAAACACACAGCCCGTAGAGTTCTCCCAACTCCTACCGGATGCCTGGCAGCACACCGGCGTCATCTCCAACTCCTGCATTGACAGGAAGTCAGAACATTGTCAGATCCTTCAAAAGGTAGAATCTCGGTAATGTTTCTCTGGTCATAGACCTTCTGCTAGGTCCCATGCTAGTTTTTTTTCCCTTTTATGGCAGAATTATCATCACCGAAGTTGATATAGCTAAACAACTCTTGAGGAGAATTACAGCAGAGGGACTTGGGCAGCCCACAGCCAAAATATTCATGTAAGAGTTTCTAGGCTTCCCACTATTTATTGATTGATATATTTATTTTTGTAAAATATTGTAGAATACCAAATATTTTATTTTTATGCCTGTGATTCCCTTTTGGATAGAGAGTCTTCTGGGCTTCAGAATATGGCTCACATATAATATATGGCCTGTATTTCCATCTCTCTCTTTTTGCATCAGAATGTTCTATTGGTTTAAGGAATCTTCCACAGCTTGCCATAATTTTGTATTTTTGTGTCTTGTAGGCGTGCTGTGCCTCCAAGCATGCTTTGTAGTATATTTTCTGATTTGTAAATAGTACAGTTTTAACTGAAGTGTAGATGTTCCAGGAAATATTTAACAAATACATTGTCATGCAGTTTCATAAAGTGATGTTGTCAGTTTATCATGAAAGGCAAATATTGTCAGGCTGTGAGAGAATGTGATTGCTACTCAGTAAATGGAGACGCTATTTAAATGAATCTTTTCATCCCCCAAAGCTGGTACTTCTCTGGAATTTACCTATTGCCTTCACTGACCCAGAAATTCAGAGATGTGATTGGTCAAATTCATTTGTAATTGGACCAATTACTTTGTAAATGTTAACGATGTTAGCTTAGTGGTTTCCAAAAGAGTCAGCCCCAAAGTGCCCAATTCTTTCCCGATGTGTAAATTTTGGTCTGGGGAATTAATGACAAAAACTTTTTTTTTCAGAACTGTTACTGAATGTTTCAGTATTTGTTATGATTTACAGTCTTCAAGTAAAAGATATTTTCATGTAAGAGAATTTTATGTATTCTTCTTACTTGATTCATCAACAGATTATGAAGCCCAGCAGTGTTCCGGCAAAACCTTTTTAACTTGTCTAGAACACAGAAGGGGTGTTGTCCTTTTTAAGGACTGTAGATCTTTTCAGAGTCACTGTGGGTCATTCTTAACCCTCTACAGTTCTGCAAGCTCACATGTGGTGCAAGAGGAAAGGCTGGTATGACTCTGTGCATTTTCTTGCCCCTAAACAAGAATAGTTGATTTCATATGTTAAATGGAAGGTAGATATGACTATGCAAGAGAAGTATGCAGGGGTGTTTCTGCATGTGGAACGTTTTTCATAAGTTAAAAACCCATCATGGAATAACTGTTTGTTGTGATCAGCATGTTTTTATCACACACGAGCACTGGTTTTGTGAGCACCTGGCTTGGTAGTGATAGGGTGGCCAATGTGCCAGCGCCTGTCTACTGAGCATTCGTGGACATTGGAAATCAGTGAACGCCACAGACACACCGAATCAGCTGGTGCACGGTCATGTTCTCAGGTAAAACCTGTTCATTATCCATGTCCAGATTTGTATAGTTATCACTAGACTAAAATGAAGATGGAAATAAATATTTTACCCTGTGTTCATGAACCAAATGTGTACATTCAGAGTCTTTTTAAGTAAAATAAAAAAATTATTTTGGTGATAATTATTTGCAGCTTATTTTTCCTTGAGGTAAGATATTTAGTTTTGCACACACCCCACTTTTTCATGTTTCTATTTGATAACATGTCCAGAGGGAATAAAACTAATTGCTATATTAATAGAGAATGGTCTGAAGAAAGCATAAGTTGTTTTGGGCTTGTAACTGACCTTAGTAGAGACTGGGATTTTGTGGCTCCATGGTTCTCCCACTTTATATGACTTTGTGTAATTCCCATTAATGCACAGGCATTCATAGAAAATACAATTGGCTCCCTTTTGTCAGTAGCTGGGAAATATTTCTTCTTCGAATACCAAAGGAGGCAGATTAGAGGTAACAGTCCTGGCCAACAGAGAAACCTTGCTGCTTGTTCAAGAAGGAAATTCATTCTTATGGCAGAATGTGGAATTTGAAGGGCATAGGGACAGACTCAGGCAGAATAAAATCGCTTCCATCAGAAAATCATCCTGCATCTCATTTTTGAGGGGAAGCCTCCAGTGTCTCAGCTGGCAGTCTGA